CACTGGTGGAGTCCACTCTACCTCCTTTGCTCACACAGGTAGTTCACACGTCACTGCAAATTATGTTTCCACTTCAAGTAAGGAGAGACCTCCTTGGATTATAGATTCTAGAGCATCAGAGCACATGACACAGAGCTCTACTATTTTTTCAACTTACCAGCTCTGTTCTGGCAAAGATAAGGTCTCTACAGCTGATGGATCCCATGTTTCAACTTACCATGGATGTCACCTTTTTTGAATCCACGTACTTCTTCTCAAAAAATCCTTCTCAGGAGGAGTGTTTTGGGGAAGTGAGTCAGCAATCTATTCCTCTCCCAGTTCCAGTCCCTGTGTCTACTCCTGTGCTTGACCACCACCTTGTGGCACCTACCTTGCCACCTCCTTTGCGTTCTGCTTCTCAGCATTACTTACAACAAAGACTTCACAAGGGGGTTGATTCCACTACGGCAGAACTCACACCACTTCCTGTCGATTCCTTGGAGACTCCAGATTCGGCTGCCATGGATTCAGGTATTCCTCTTGGTCCCGCTACTGTTTCAATTTCCATTGATCCTACTAACACTGTTACAGATAACCTTGATCTCCCTATTGTTCTCAGAAAAGGGAAGAGAAAGTGTATTGCTCATTGTATTTCACAGTACTTATCCTGCAGTGGACTTTCTCCTTCCTACCGTGCTTTTCTCTCCTCTCTTGATTCAGTGTCTATACCCAAGGGTGTTAGTGAGGCTCTCTCCAAACCTGAGTGAAAAACAGCTATGCAGGAAGATATGACAACTTTGATTAAGAATCAGACATGGGACATTGTGGATCTACCAGAAGGCAAGGAGACAGTTGGATGCAGATGGGTTTACATAGTAAAATATAAGGCAGACGGAAGTATAGAAAAGTACAAGGCAAAACTTATTGCAAAAGGATACACACAGACCTATGGCATTGATTACTTAGAGACCTTTGCGCCAGTTGCAAAGATGACATCCGTTCGGATACTTCTTTCTCTTGTTGCCTCATACTCTTGGCCTTTGTTTCAACTGGATGTGAAGAATGCTTTCCTAAATGGGGATCTGCAAGAAGTGTATATGGATCTTCCTGCTGGTTTTACAATGATACTGAAAATGGAAATGTATGCAGGCTTAAGAAGTCACTTTATGGCTTGAAACAATCTCCTAGAGCATGGTTTGACAGATTCAGATAGGCCTTGATTGCTTTTGGCTACACTCAGACTCAATCCAATCACACCTTGTTTGTGAAGCGAAGGGGATCTTTGGTGTCAGTCCTAATTGCTTATGTGGATGGTATTGTTGTCACCGGGATTGATCTGAGTGAGATTGATGGTCTAAAAAAGAACCTACATAAAGAATTTGAAATTAAGGATCTTGGAGAACTAAAATACTTCTTAGGCATTGAAGTTGCAAGATCAAAACATGGAATTTTTATCTCACAAATGAAGTATGTCTTGGATCTTCTTCAAGAAACATGGAAGCTTGGAACAAAAGCAATCAGCACCCCTATTGATCAGAACCATAAAATCAATGCATCAGAAGGTGAACCAGTAAAGGACATTGGGTGATATCAGAGACTTGTGGGTCGGCTGCTATACTTGTGTATGACAAGACCAGACATCTCCCATGCAGTAAGTATAGTAAGTCAATACATGCATGCTCCACGAGTCCAACATTGGGAGGCAGTTGACAGGATTCTTGCTTATCTGAAGGGACACCCAGGCAAAGGCATATTGTTTACTGATCATGGACAGTTGAAACTAGAGGCTTATATAAATGCAAATTGGGCAAGATGCCTTGATGACAGGAGATCAACCTCAGGAGTGTGCACCCTAGTTGGGGGTAACCTTGTCTCATGGAAGAGTAAGAAACAAACAGTGGTGGCAAGATCAAGTGCTGAAGCCAAATACAGGGCCATGGCACATGGAGTTTCAGAACTTCTCAAGATCCGTTCCCTATTAGAAGAAATTGGTGTACAGGCAAAAGAACCTATGATGCTATACTGTGATAACCAGGCAGCAATTAACATTGCCCATAACCCAGTCCAGCATGACCGAACTAAGCACATTGAAGTGGATAGACATTTTATCAGAGAAAGGGTAACTTCTGGARAAGTTTGTCTTCCATACATTGCTTCTGATCTGCAGCTCGCTRATGTTCTCACGAAAGGTGTTGCAAAGAACAAGCTGGAGCATGATCTACGTAAGTTGGGAATGTGTGACATTTACTCCCAACTTGAGGGGGAGTGTTGAGTTGGTCCGATTTGTTTTTATTTAGTTAGGAAGTTGTTGGGCTTTAGGCCCATTAGTTTATCTTTTTTTAAGTTGTGACTGTTTAGCTTTTAGTAGTCGCCCTACTAAGGGAATCCTTGTAATATCTCATCTTTTTAAGTTAAGTATAAATATAATGAGAGGGGGGCGGCTATGGTGGATTTCACAATCCTGGTTGACTTCCTACTCTCTTCTTCTCCTTTCTTCTCTATTGCTGAAATCTTCATCTTCCCCCTCTTTCCTTCACAAGAAACTCGACTAAATCTTCAATTAGTGATCTCTACTTAACTAAATCACACACTAATTCTGTGATGTGAGACCAACAACTCTAACACCAAATGATGTAGAACCAAATAACTCCAATACCAAATAATCTAAGATGGCAATGACCATAGTGTAAAAATAGGAAGATATTGATCAGTTAGAATAGGTTTTAGGAAAGATTCAAGGACCCAGACACAAAAAGGGATATAGAAGGTTCTAGCCTTCTAAGAATTATAGATTCTCTATAGGATGGTGGAAAATGAGAATAAATAAACTAGGTGTAGAAATAAAATTTTAATGAAACATCATAAAAATGTTTAGAATGATGGATTCCATAGGGTGATTTAATTTTAAAGCCTTCTAAGTAGCTTTTCTATAAAAGGACAAAAATCCTCTGATGCAAGGTTCAAAGTTTTGATATGTATTGGACCGTATCGGCTGATATGTATCATATCAGGGGCTTTCCGATATGCCCCTACAGTGGGTGTTTCGGGTCAGACCATGGTTCAAGGGGTAGACGGGACCTTAAATTGACCCCTCTGAACCAGATTGAGAAAAAAAAAAAACTAGAAAGAAAATGGAGAAGCAATCCTTGATACAGGCCGATATGCCCCTATCGACATATCAACCTGTATCGATATTTTGAACCTTGCTCTCATGAAAGAAATAGCCAAAATTCCCAAAACTAAGGTGTTGAATTATAATTTGTAGGATGAAGGATGATTAAGAACTATGTGGGAACCCAAATATAAAAGCAAGTAGAGACTATTTGGGTACAAAAGGATGAAAATGACTAAAATGAAGAAATTCAAAACTTTGATATAAACTAAAGAAAGCATACCTTTTATCAATTTTGATTCTTAGTATGTAAAAGAAAAATCAGTTTCAATTCTTCAGAGTTGTTGAATGAACTCTTTTGACGAAGAATTGTAAATTATTGACAGTCATAGTGGCTTCTAATAAAATTAGAAAGAAGATGTTATTCAATGGGGAACCTAGAATCACTATAAGGTTTATGAGAGTAACTTACCATAAGTAATAACAAAAGGTCATTATCCAATCTTAGTCGCAACTATCTGGGATCCTAGGAGGGGTGGACTGGACACAAAACAAACCTTTGTGCCTTTGTCGTTTTACTTTTTTATTATTTTATTTGTACACAAACAGGACACTCACAGGATTGTATGTGCACATACTTCTTGGGTTAACATTTTACCCTTACCCAATGTTGGTCCAAATTATCTAGGGCAGGGTTCAAAGTTATAATACGTATCTAGCCGTATCGACCGATACGTATCAAATCGGGGGCTTCTCGATATGCCCCTACAGTAGGTGTTTCAGGTCAGACCATGGTTCAAGGGGTAGACGGGCCTTAAACCGACCCCTCTGAACCAGATTGAAAAAAAAAAAAACTAGAAAAAAAATGGAGAAGTGAGCCTCGACACAGGCCGATATGCCCCTACCGGCACATTGGCCTGTACCAATATTTTGAACCTTGATCTGGGGTCTTGGGAGGGGTAGACTAGATAGATTTTGCACAAAGTGGCCACTTTCAGACTTTTACCTGTGTTCTCACGCTTGCCAGCCTGAGATTTTACCATTACACCAAGCACAGACCCCTATTTAGGGAACAATACGACAGATTTGAATTTTCTTAAAATTCTATCTACCTAATTTGATATGCTCTTCATAAGAGACAACCCCCTTGCTCAAGAATGATTCCCACAAAGAACCCTAAATAATTTGTTCAATTAATCAGGTGAAACTCTAGCTTCCACAAGTGCAGAAACTTTCATACCTGTCCAATTGAACCTTATTTAAAGCTAGGCTATAGGTGTCAGAACCCTTATCTTTGGCTCCTAGATCAATTGCCCTAAGCTCTTGAAACTTCAAATAACTGATCAAAATACGTGTACTCTATGAAAATACAAAAAGATGAAATTCATAAAACTACATATCTCAAACTATTTGTTATGATAAAAACTAAACCCTCAAACTCCTATAAGAATACTAACCGTCAACTCATTCAGCCTAGTAAAGCCCTAGTTTTGACCTGACCTGTGACTTCATCACTTCAATAGAAAGACTTCCATTGAAACTTTCAAAACCCCCACCAATATCATCTAGGAAATCAAGAGCTTTCTGCTCAGCTGAAACTAGCGATACCTGTTAAACTCTAGCTTAAGTGCAGAAACTTTCTACAGTGTTCACATTCAAATTGAACCTTATTAAAAGCTAGGCTACATGTGTCACAGCCCTTATCCTTGGCTCCTAGATCAATCGCCCTAAGCTCTTGAATCGTCCAAAACATCTGTAAGCTTAAATTTGGCAAAGTAACTTTTTCATGAAGTTCCTAAAATACTGTTTTGAATTAATAGATTTAAACATTATTTAATTAACTACAAACACAAAAAGATGAAATTCTTAAAACTCCATATCTCAAACTATTTATTACGATAACAACTAAACACTAAAACTCCAATAAGAATACTAACCATAAACTCTTTCAGCCCACTAAGCCCTAGTTTTAACCTGACTTCTGACTTCATCACCTCAATAGAAATACTGTCTACTTCCATTGAAACTTTCAAAACCTCACCAATATCCTCTAGACAGCCACAAACTTTCTCTTGGCAACCCCCCGCCCGCCAAAAAAAAAAATCATAGAGAACCTACTCCCAGAATAAAGTAACAAAAGAGTTTAAAAGAATGCTCAAAAAACAGAAAGCCATGTTGTAAAGGAGGGCCTTCAACTTGGTACCAAAATGGAAATGATCGAATCATCGAAGAGCCAAATGTGAACTGGAAGCAAAATGAACTAAAATTAAACTGGAAGGGAAAATTACTTCACTGCAAAACTAAAACTTTATCTATGTCAATATTGCCTATAAGTTTGGCGTCAAGAGAAAATAAGCTGCCAAGAAGACTTACAAGAAACCACTAAAAAGGCAAAAGAATCATGCCCAAAGCAGTGTAACCACAAAGAAAAGTAGAAGAGCCAGAATAAAACAGAGACTCACGATTGCCATAAATGCCTGGAGTGGAAACAGAAAGGAGAAAAGTAAGGTAGTTTTAAACCTACAGTTGATAAGACAAATGTAGGTATTTCTTTTATATATAAATGGGGAGATTTGGGATTCAGATTACCTTTCCTTGAGATTCAAACTTGAACGTTACGGTGAACCATGACAATCCTTTATCGACAAAAGGAGCAAGAGCAAGGGCCCTGCACAAGAAGCATGTCTTAAAATAAGTGGACAGAAGGCATTATATAGACATACACCATCAATTGCAAACAAGACATGTAAACTTGTCATTAGACTTGTTCATGGACCGGGCGGGCTCAGCTTTTGACAAAATATGAATGGGCCTAACCTGAAGCCCAAGCCCAGAATTGTGTAAAGCCAAGCCTGAGGCCTGGCCTATAAAAAGATCCTACTTGTCATTTCCAATACAGATTGATTTTTGGAATGCAGAATACTTGGAAAACTTGATCAGATTAGGGTTTTTAATCTAAAGAGAACCTGTAAATGGTTGATGAATACCAGTACCAAGACAGAAGAAAGAATGAGAAGAGAATCCTCTTAACGATGTGTGTGTGCAGCCCCATTCTTTATTATACACAATGACAAAAACACCCCTACCAACTACTAATGAGTGTACAAGTGAGACATAAAAAAGAAAAACACTAGTATGACACATCAGTATAAACAAATAAACAAAGAAATAAACATAGAAAGAACTTCATAACATTCCCCCTCCAACTGAGCATAGATATTAATTCTGCCCAGTTTGCATTACATAATGCCACAACCAAGATTTAGGGACTCCTTTTGAGTATATCTACTAATAAAAAAGCAATGAATGGAAGGTACACTTCACTAAAAATTACTCTCTTTTAGTGTTTGTCAACTTCAATATGCTTCATTCTATGTTGAATTGGATTATAGGCAGACGTAGATCCCACCTAAAATAATCTGAAATAAAATAGAAAATAGAAGGAAAGAAGAAGAAGAAGATGGAAGAGTGAGAAACAATGGAGAAAGAAGATGGAAGAAAAGGAAAGGAGGAAGAGGCACAATTATATGTATACCCTTAATAGGGCGGCAAGTAGATCTGTTCATGGGCCGGGCACGGGCTTGGCTTTTGCCAAAATTTGAATGGGGCTCAGCCCGAAGCCCGGCCCGTGAACAGGTCTACCAGCCAGCACTAAAAACAGTAATAACAGAAAGAAAACAGGCCCACTAACTAAGAAATACATGGACCAAAATAAATAAAATAATAATGTCCTATGGCTCATTCTGCCATCATCTCTCCACTCCCCCCCCTCAAGCTGAGCATGGATATCAATCATGCACAGCTTGCTTACATAGTGCTGTAACTTTTCCTTAGGGACACCCTTGGTCAAACATCTACTAACTGTTGATCTGAGGCACTGAAAGGAAGACAAACTTCTCTGGAAGCCACTCTTTCTCTTATAAAATGCCGGGTCTACCTCGATATGTTTTGTCCTATCATGTTGAACTGGATTGTGAGTTATGTTAATTGTAGCCTGGTTATCACAGTACAACATTAAGGGATTATCATATACAATACCCATGCCTAGAGAAGAGAATACTCTTTCTCACAATTCCCTTCAAGTAACAAACAACCCATTCTGCAACAGCCATATGTGTGTCTTTAGGGGCATGCATAAATTGGCTAATCACACTGACAGCATATGAGATATCTAGCCGTGTCATGCAAAAGGTATAGTAACTTCCCCAAAAGTCCTTGGAACACTCCCCTGCCCGCCAAGAGCTCACCATCATTAGTTGAAAGCTTATGGTTGGCATCAATAGGTGCAAAAGCAAGTTTGGCACCAAGTTTCTGAGTCTTCATAAGAAGATCTAATACATACTTTTGTTGGGAGATAAAGATGCCATCTTTAGACTTAACAACTTCAATTCCCAAGAAATATCCCAACTCCCCTAAGTCCTTAACTTCAAATTCTGAGGTAGATTTTTGGGTGCTTGAACTTCCTCTGTATCACTCCCTATAACCACAATAATATCAACATAAATAGCAAGGAAGGTAACCGAAGTATAGCCAAACTCAACAAGTGCAGCTCTGAATTTGTCAAACCAAGCTCGTGGGAATTGCTTGAGGCCATAAAGGTATTTCTTCAACTTGCACACCTTGCTCTTCATTTCCATACCATATATGCCTAGAGAAAGTGACATATAAACCTCTTCAATCAAGTCCCCATTTAAGAAGGACAACAACAAACTAATATAATGGCCAATCATAACTCACTACCAAGGAAAATAGAACTCTCATTGAGGTCATTTTAGCAACTAGTTAGAAGGTCTCCGTATAATCAACTCCATACACCTGAGTATAACCCTTGGCTACTAGCTAAGCCTCACACCTCTCATGGTGCCATCAGCATGATACTTGATGGTGAACACCTACTTACATTCCATTGGTTCCTTCTCATAAGGCATGTTGTGGGACTTAACAGTATGGGCTTCAGCCCATTTATGTTATGTTTTGTTTATTTCTTGTTAGGCTGTATTGTTCTGTACTGTTATTAAGAATGGGCCTAGGCCTTCTTTTATTTTGAATTACATTACCTCTTACTAATAGAGGGTAATATTGTCAACTCATGTATTATTGTTGCCCTAGTATAAATAACAATTTGATGGGTTGGACAGAGGGTGCCACCCTATTCTCCATTTCTGTTCTTCTTCTTCTTTCTTCCTCTCTTGATCAAGAATCTGAATACAAATATGGTGTTAGAGCTGTAATCTCCTCTTATTCTGCTCGTCTACCCTCTTCTTCACCTCCTCTTTCTTCTTAAACTTCTTTTATTGCTGGAACAACAAGAGAGAGTTGCTGCTGGCTGTGGTGAACTGAAGTTTTTTCTAGGGTTTTTTCCTGGAAAAAATCTCCAAGGAGGCCCAGAATAGTTGCTGGTATGCCCAGGTAAGGCAAGAAACTTTGAAGTAGTCATATGGACTTCTAGAGAAACCTGGTTAACAGGTCTAGCCGTTGGACTGTAAGGGGTATTGGTCCAGGAGGTTCGTGCTCTAGCCACTAAACTATAAGTAGCATCAGTCCAAGAGATTTGTGTGCTCTCTAGCCCAGTTTTTCTGGAGTTTTAGCAAAGGGAAGTGTTGTTTGACCTGTTCTACTATTCAAATAACAGTTTTTTGTGAGTTCGGGATGTCTTCCAACACAAGTGAAGTCTCATCTGGAGGTTCAAGGACTACAGACAATATTATTCATCTTGGAAATCCCATGGTACAGATTAATAATGTGAAACTAAATGAATACAACTATAGGGAATGGGTCATTTCAACAAGATGGTCCATGGTGAGCCATGGGCTGCAAGGTTACATTGATGGGAAGATTAAGGAGCACAAGGAAAACGATCCTAGTTACAGAAGTGGTGCAAGGAAAATGCAACTGTGATGTCATGGTTGCTAACCTCTATGACTCCTAAAATTGCAAGGATTGTTTAGCACTGTACCACAGCCCATAAGGTTTGGGAGAAACTGTACAACACTTGTGATCAAACGAAAAACATAGCAAGAATCTACAAGATAAATGAAGACATTTTTAGTTTGACTCAAGGAGACACGACTGTTGCAACTTATTTTGTTACACTAGAAAGTTTGTGGGAAGAACTTGATATCCACTTAGTCCTTGAGTGGGATAGCACCAAAGATATAGAAAGGCATGACAAGCAAATAGAAGGAAAATTTTTCAAGTTTCTTGCTAGTTAAGACCACTCATATGAAAGAATTAGAGCACAAATATTAGAGAGAGATGAACTTCCAGATCTGCATCATGTGTTTTATCTAATTAAGAATGAGGAGATGAGGAAAGAAATGGGAATTGATGTCTCTCTCTAGCCTATTGAGCAGTCTTCTCTTTTCCAGCAGCTCTAAGGGTGGAAAAGGGGTGGATAAGAAGAACTTGAAATGTTCTCACTGTGGAGGAGAGAAGCATACTAAGGATACTTGCTGGAGTCTTCATCCACACTTGAAACCAGCAGCCTTGAGGAAGGACAAGAAGACAAACAAGGATCCCAACTACAGTTCAGGTCAGGTTATGTAGCCAATGTAAATGTTGCAGATAGTGTTTCTAAGGGTAACAGTACTAGCTCTTCTAATGTGGGAAAAACTTCCCAGAATTTACAACCGAAGAGGTAGAAATCCTCAACTGGGCTATGGCTTGGTTGAAACAATCATCCATTGCTTCATTCTTATTTGTAAAAACAGATATAACATCTACCCTTAGTGCTATTCATTCTTCTTCATCAAACATTTGGGTTATTAGTTCAGGAGCTTTTGAACACATGACAAATTCATCCTCATTATTCACTTCTTACCATCTCTCATCAAGGCATGATACGGTAAAAATTGATGATGGATCTCTTCCCATTGTTTCTGGAAAGGGAGACATTCAGCTAGGAAAGGGGATCCCCCTCAAATCTGCCTTACATCTTCTAGATTTCACCACTAATTTACTCTGTCTCAAAAATTACCAAAACCCAACATTGTCTTGTTACCTTTATTACTGTTTTCTGAAAGATTGTAGCTGAAGTAGTAGAAGAGAGGTGAACGCAAACAAGTGCTGAGAATGTCGAACTTAGTAACCCAGTCGACAGTACTATTATTTATAGTAGATTACAATACAGTGTTACATGAAATGTCTGGAATGCCCCTGATTAGTGATGGGACACCCAGACTGCTTAAAACACTAAACAGACTTAGGCCCAATAACAAAGGCCCA